ACATATGTTGCAACTAATTTTAGCTTATGTTACAACATTTTGTAAATTTGAAATCAATTGCTGTACCATCTTTAGTTTGGATTTTTGTTCTCTCTTATTTTGTGGCATTGTAGTGGAGAGAGTTTTTTAGTATTAAATATCACCTTATTAATTGATTAGACTCAATATTATTTTTAGTGCAATTTTTATTAGCCAAGTATGTTTATTGTAGCGTAACTATTTTTGATTATCAATTACTCAAAATCAATTATTAGTCTTGTAACCCATTTTTAATAAATCAGCTTCCAAATGCTTAAATAGTTTTAATTTTTTCATATTATCAATTAAAATTTGAAATAAATTTTCTTTTTTATTGAAATCTTTATTTTTCTATTCAAATTCTATATCTAAATCTTTATCTTTAAATAAATTATATTTGTTATAAATATATTTGAAAAACTAAAAATAGATTAAATTTTAAGTATAAATAAAAATTTTGTTTTATTTATATATATACCATTTGTCTTTTTATCTTTACTGAAGTATATTTGCAATTTTTTACAAATATAAAAAGTAATATACCAGATTTATAATTTTATTAGTATCAGTATCATAATCCTATTTGATTATTACAATCTTGTAAATTCCAACATTATTGATAATTTTATAAAAAAATAAAATAATAGCATAATTAGCCTAATTAATATAGTTTTATGTATTAATTAAAACTGTAGAGAATCAAAAAAATACGTTAATTTTATTAATATCAAAACATTAAAATACTTATTCCAATATTTAAACAAATTGAATAATAAACGCAAATTATAAATTAAAAGACACTATGTTTACTGCGCTAAGGGATGTTAACGATATCAGGGACCGATCCTTGGACCGATCTTTTTTTTTTGGCGTAATATTACAATGTCGAATGAATATAATATTTAGATTAGCATGTTTGCTAAATTAAATCAATATAGAAGATCTCATCATCAGCAATATATCAAAATTATTCACTTGGATCGATCATCTAAGATTTTGATAAAAAAAATTTTTAATCTTAAAATGCAAATTTGTTTTCGTGCTCAACAATTTGCTTTTAGAAAACAAATTTCTTTTGCCGGTTCTTTTTTACACCCTCTAGTACAAATTAGAAATTCATCGAGTGATAATAATGCCGAAGAAAAACCAATTCTGCTAGTTGGACAACATGATGTGGCAATTATTCAAGAAGGTGAAGTAGACCTTGACTTAAAAAACGATATGGAGAGGATTCGAGATCAGAGTATACAATATAAACTAAGAGATAAGGTTTTGTATTTCAATTTTATTTAATTTTTAATTCTTTGCTCTTTAAAAGGATTTTTGTTAGTTGTTTTAAACCTTTCACCTTTTTTGTACTACTACTTCCTTCCGTATAAGACACGACAATTTATCGACTTGATGTATGTTAAGGTTAAGGGAGGTGGCGGGGGTGATGGATGTGTTGCTTTTAGTCGGGAAAAGTATGTTTCAAAGGTACCACCTTCAGGTGGTAATGGAGGACGAGGAGGAAATGTTATCTTTGTCGCGTCGTCAAATCATTCTTCTTTACATTCCATTAGCAAGAACATAACTGCGGGTAGAGGTCATAATGGAGAAGGGAATCTGAAACATGGATCAGCTGGTAAAGATGTTATAATACAAGTACCTTTGGGAACCATTATTAGAGAGGTTGACCCACCACCAAAAAAAAAACAATCAAATCAAATTAATGAAGGAAATCAAATAAATGATGAAAATCTTGACGAAGAAACGAAACTTGCAAAAAAGAGGGCAGCGACTTGGGTTCATTACCCTCGATATAATGAGAAAAATCCTTTAAGTTCATTCTTTATCGAAGCTGAGAAAATGATTGAGCAAGATGAAAGGTATAATAAGTTTTTTAAAGCTAAGGATGCAAATAATAATCTTTATTTGGATCTTTCCGTACCAAATAGTCAATACATAGTTGTACATGGGGGTTTAGGTGGAAAAGGAAATCCACATTTTTTAACGAATGCAAATCGTTCTCCAAAGTATGCGACAAAAGGACAGGATGGGCAAGTAAAATATCTTGAATTAGAATTGAAAGCAATAGCTGATGCTGGATTGGTGGGCCTACCAAATGCTGGGAAAAGTACTTTCCTTACGGCCGTTTCTAATGCCCATCCAAAGATCGCACCTTATCCTTTTACAACTCTAAATCCTTACATTGGTACAGTTGATTATTCCGATAGATTTCAATTAACCGTTGCTGATATCCCTGGAATAATCCAAGGTGCTCATAAAAACATTGGATTAGGACATGCTTTTCTTAGGCATATAGAACGTTCAAAAGTTTTGGTTTATGTCGTTGACTTATCAGGAGATCAACCATGGGAAGAATGGTATATTTTACAAAGTGAATTAGAAAAATATCGACCGGGACTTACAAAACGTCCATCTTTGATTGTTGCAAATAAGGCAGATGTAACTGAAAAATCCAAAGAAAATTTTCCAATCTTTGAAACAAAAGTTAAGGATAAGTTTAAGGAAGAAATTGTAATTGTACCGGTTTCTGCGAAATACAGAAAGAATATCGTCAAAGTAACAACATTATTAAGACAAATGGTTGAAATAGTACGAGAAAAAGAAAATTTACCTGTAAATAATTAATTTAACAATTCGTGTAAAATAATCTTTATTAATAAGTCTCCCATTATAAAATTATTCTAACGATAATATACAAATTTACTATATAATATTAAATCGAAAAGTCTATAAGCATTGAAAAATCGCAAATATTTGAAATTTGACTTTATATCGATTAATTTTTGAATTAAAATGCAAAAATCTCGTTAAAAATTTAATATTTTATTGTATTTTATCCAAAGGTCTATTAATAAATAAATTAATGAATATAATAAAAAAAGGTTCATTAAACAACAAAACTTGGGTTTTCTTACCTATTAAAACCTCCACGTCGATTCATGTATTGACGATATTGTCTTTGTTTTTTAATACTAACTGCAGCTATATCATTACCAACAACTCTCTTACCCTGATTAAATAAAAAATCGTTAATTAAATTAAAAATGAATAAAGAAACTTTAAAATACTTACTTTAGTGGTGTTAAATCCAGCGATACCCATGGCTTTCATTAAAGCTTGATCAGGATCTTCATTTGGATCTATAACCATTATAGAACTATCCGCTGATTCACATAAACAGAAACAAAGGTATTAAATTTCTCGATCTTGAAATATCTAACGGATAATAAGGAACCGAAGATGTAATACGAACCTGTCAAATTATTCGTGTCCTCTTTCCTATATAACGAATTAAACTTAAAGGCGATCCTAAATCATTAAAAAGAAAGAAAAATTGAATAACGTTTGACGTACCTCGGTGAACCTGAACGAGATTTAATCTTTCGATCACGATCATATCTTTCATCTAAATGATAAATATATATTAATATAGACATTGGAAATTCGAAGAAATTAATAAGGACAGGTATTTTTTTTTACCCTTTCGATCTCGTTCGCGTTCAGTACCACGAGGACTTACAACAGCCCGATCTATATTAATATAGGGAATAAGGAAATAAACGTGAAATATTACGAATTAAATTATCATCTTGCACAAACAACTCTTGAACGCATACCTTATATTTATCAATGCAAGCAGAGACTATACATATTCATACGGTTTGCAAGCTGTTTTTTTTTAAAACACAATATAGGGTTGCTCCCAAAGGTACAGCAACTCACCTATATTCGTCCTACATAAACTGGAACCAGCCCTATATTGTGCCATTTATTTCTCTAGGTTATATCGTTAGTAAATCGCGTTCATTAATCTTACCTCTTCTGTTTATTGGAGAGCGAGAACGAGATCTGTATCGATTATTTCTTTCCGGAGTTCTACGACGTTCTCTGCGGTCACGATCCCTTACTCTCTCTCTTACGTGTGGTGACTTTGACTTTTTTTCTCGTCGATCATACTTGTCTCTATCTCTATCTCTATCTCTATCTCTATCTCTGTCTCTGTCTCTGTCTCTGTCTCTGTCTCTGTCTCTATCTCTTAAATCTCTGTCCCTTTCTCTGTCTCTTCCTAGTGGTGACCGAGATCTGCGACGATCGTGATAAGGATCCTCTAAAGGTCTATCAAGATCGCGATACGGGTCCGTAAAATGTTCCCTATTACGATCTCTATCTCTCTGTGTTTGATGTCTACGCGAGTAATCTTGATGAGACGGGTTAGACATTCTTTAAAATACCAATAAAAAAAATTTTATTCTGTAAATGAGATTTGCTGTGATACAATACAGTTAGATCTTAGATATGATCTAAATGTGATTAATAATGAAAATTATTTTATATATAAAGGTATTATAGGATTTTAATCAATCAAAAATAAAAAAAAAATGCTTCGATTTTCTACCAAAGTGGTTCGTGCCTCAAAAATTGTACATTAAAATTATTTTATTATAATATTCTAGTTAATATATTATGTTTATTTTTTCTTTCTTATAAAAAATTCAATTCTGTTAATTTGTAGTTGTCACGTGGTTATGCTACGGCCAGCAATATCAACGTAAATTTAAAAGTATTTGATTTATTTGTTTAAAAAATTATAATCGTATCTAATCAATCAATATATAGCAAGTTGTTATATTGTCGGCTGTGAGGACGCCAGTTGGTTGTTTTAATGGATCATTGAAGAAACTAACCGCTCCAGAACTCGGTGCTATTGCGGCAAAAGGAGCGCTTGAAAAATCACGTTAAGATGAACATTTTTATGATTTTGATATTAACCGATATTTTTAAAAGATTTTCGTTTTGGATTAAATGTTTGAAATTTTGGCTATAATTAGGTTTAAAACCTGAGCAAATCGAAGAATTATATTTCGGTAATGTCTTGCAAGCAAACATTGGCCAATCACCGGCTCGTCAGGTGGTAATTAAAGCGGGTAAGTAAATCTTTAGAACCAAGGGAAGTGATGATTCATCCAAACCTATAAAATAACATCATTTTCTAAATTCTCGGGTTTAGGTTTACCAACTTCAACAGAAGCAACAACAATTAATAAAGTATGCGCTTCCGGTATGAAAGCTGTTATATTAGCTGCACAAAATTTAGCCCTTGGCGACCGATCTATAATGATTGCCGGTGGTATGGAGAGTATGTCTAATGCTCCGTGGGTATATTCAAAACATTTCGATCTTTGGTTTCGCTATTCATGCTAACGCGTTATATGATGTAATTAGATTTTACGTGTCAAGAAATGCCTTGTACGGACATCAAACCATGTTTGATGGGATTATCAAAGACGGATTATGGGACGTTTATAATCAGATACAGTAAGTAATTTCTATAATCTTAACCGTGCTTTATTTAGATGGAGATTTTAACTAACGGTTTTGCTTTAAATTAGCATGGTAAAAACGATCTATAAAACTTTATTTCCTCTCCTTTTAATAAGAATTTCCTGGATATTTAGAATCATTGAAACTTGTTTTATAGGGAAACTGTGCAGAAAACACGGCTAAAAAATATAATATTTCAAGAGAAGTTCAAGATGAACATGCTATTGAGTCATATAAACGTGCTGCAGAAGCTTGGAAGGTACACATATATTATTATTAAATCTTTTTTATTGCTTACATTTATTGTTGACGTATCTACTTTAAATTTAGAACGGTGTTTTCAAAAACGAGATTATTCCTGTTGAGATTAATGAACGAGGAAAAACTATCGTAATTGATGAAGATGAGGAATATAAGAATGTCAAATTTGATAAGATTAAAACTTTGAAAACGGTCTTTCAAAAAGATGGTATTTGATTGTTGTGTTTTTTTTCTAATAATATTGTAAAATTATTAACGAGTTTCGATTATTTTGAAAGGCACGGTCACGGCTGCTAACTCGTCAACCCTTAATGATGGTGCAAGTGCTTTAACACTTGCAACTCGTTCAAAAGCCGATGAACTCGGTCTAAAACCTTTGGCCAGGATAATTTGTATGTTATTTAATTTAGCACCTTTGAATCTTTGAAATAACAAAAAAAAAATTTTTAACTCTTTTTAATCATAGCATACGGTGATGCGGCAGTTGATCCGATCGACTTCACTATCGCACCATCGCACGCACTTCCAGCAGCGTTGAAAAAAGCCGGATTATCAATTTCTGATATTAGTTTATTTGAATTCAATGAAGCATTTAGCGTTGTAGCTCGCGCGAATGAACAAATTTTAGGATTAGATCCTTCCAAGGTTAATGTTGCTGGTGGTGCTGTTGCCTTAGGACATCCCATTGGTAGTTCAGGTTCTCGTATTCTCGTTACTTTGTTACATTTACTTAAACCTGGTCAATTGGGTGCCGCAACCATTTGTAATGGTGGTGGTGCTGCTTCTTCAATCATTATCGAACGACTTTAAAAAAGATTTATTTGTATTTAATTTAAAAAATGTTTTTTATTGGCCAAATTATTATGATTTTAAAATTCTTAATTGTTTCACAACCAAAATATTTACTTTCACGTGATTTGTGCTACAAAATAAAATTCAAAAAAAGGTATAAAAAAGCTCAAAAAATCCTTTTTGTTATTTTTGAGGAATTCTCTCAGAAAATAATTTTAAAACTGTTGAGATTTAGCCAATTCTGAGTTTTTTTTTTTTTTTAAAAAAAAAAAAAGCAATGATTAAAAAAATTATATAGAATTCCTCTGAGGATTTTGTTTTTAAAATTTAAAATTAAAAATTGGCAATGATGATTCTGTAAAAGGTTTGATATTTTCTTGAAATCCCTTGCAAAAGTTGTTTTAAGAAAAAATGTGATTACAAACTTCTGAGACCTCTCTTCTTCCTTGAAAATTATTATCCTGATCCGGGTTTTATATATATCTTGGGGATGAGAGGGTCTGAGCCAATTTTATTTTTATCATGTTCGGATGAACCAATTTAATACTCCAATAAAAATTAATTTTCAAAAATCTTGTAAACTTGTCAAGTTTGTTCTTTTTTAATTATTTATATTTAAGTAAATTGTCAATTTTTTACTATTCAGCCATAAGATTAAACACTTTTTCTATCAGCAAGATGAAATGATGCATTAAAAAATTTAGAAGTAAAATCCATAATGTACAATCAGATTACTCACTTGAAAATAATGTGAATCTATGTTGTATGTAATCCACCAGTTCTCGATATTTCAAACACGAACATTATATTGGTTTGTTCTTCAATTGGAACTTTTTGAATTGATATTAACAAGTCATAACCTATCAAGCATAAGCTAAATTTATAAAGATGAACTTGTATTAAAATATTACTACTCCCAATCAAGGAAAAATCATTCAGGCTTTTCATTGTGATTTAAAACGTTATTAGATCTATTTATGGTTAATCTTCTTCATTTTCACTCGAGGTGGTAGTATCGTCGTCAATTTCGTGGCGATTAGTATTTACAAAAAGTTCTTCAGAATCCGTTTCATGTCTATTAAATAAAAAATGAATTTTATTGGATAAAATTTGTCAATTCAAAAGATTCGGAAGTTTACCTTGAATTTTCCTCTTCTTGACTTTCAAACCCTCGAGGCCTATCAAAAATTATGTACGGAATGTAGATTTTTTGTAAAAAGGTTGCGAAAGAAAAAACAAATTATTTGCTTACCATATTTCTTGATATTTTAAATGTTTAATATGATCGGAAAATAATACGTGTTCAATTTCTCCCCCAACTTTGCTTACACGCTCAGTTGTTTCTTTGATTGGGTTTATAATGACATAATTTCCTAAAAAAAAAATAAAAGATCATATTTAATTAAAAAAAATAATTATAATAACGAAATATAAATGCCTTTACTTACCTCGTTTCACCCATATAAGATTACGAAATTTTGGTGGTAAGATACATAACGTCGTATTACCATCAGAGAATTGTATTTCAAAAAGATTTTTACCGCGTCCATTTAAGACTCTAGCTATCTTTTGTTTTTCAGTGGGAATCGGAATTGTGTTTAATACATTATTCGTAGTTTTTTGTTTTCGTCCCATTATTGGAAATTTAAAAATTTTTTTTTTCGAGAAAAATTTAAAAATTTTTTAATTCGATCTTTACATTACGTAAAAAGCTATGTATTTTATAAATAGACTAGTCTGGGAAATTTGTTACATAATATAAAGTCATAATCACATGATAAATTACAAACCATGAAATGGCTTAAATATGATGCGTTTTAATATAAAAGGAACCAAAAATATCCACTCTCAAATTTTCTACAATTTTCTACGTAAAAAAAATTACAAGCCCAACGATGTCAGGTAGTAGCAGGATTTCAGTTAAATCTTCTGTAATAAAAATCGATGGAATTATTTAAAATTGGTTTTCTTTACGTGTTTTTCTTTTTTAAAAGGAATAGATCCTTCCACCAATCGCGATACAGCATCAACAGATACGGTGGGCGGTCCAACTGCTGGAGACAAGTATGATGATTCAAGACATTTAAATTATGGTCAATCAAAAAGTTCAAAATCCGAAGATTTAGGATCGTATGTTCTTTTGTGATTGTTATGTAAACGCGATCTTTAACTTTGTTTATCTTTTTAACCCATTCCTTTTTTTTTATTTTTTTGTAACTTCATGTAGTCCTTGCCCTGTGCCAATTCGTCGCCATTCTATATCATCGGATTCAAAACCTGTGTCGATGCACACATTTCAGGAACAGATTACCGGTGGAATGACAGGTGATGATATAATTAAAATGGAAGAGAAAAAAGAGAAACAGAGAAAAGAAAAAGAGAAAGAACAAAGTCAAAAAAGAAAGAAAACATGAAGAGTTCTACCTATATTTACCAATTTATATTAGTAAATATTATGTATTTTAACGTATAATTTATGATGATGGAAAACAAAAAATAGCTATAATCAAAACAAACATTCTAATTCTTACAAATAAAATCCTGCTTTCTAACTTTAATCCTTCGCAAAAATCATGATCCTGGGCTCTCTTGACCAAAAGATTGCGTTCCAAAAAATAATATTGAAAATATATGATAGTTCTATAATAAGTAACCATTTTAGGTATATCTGATTTTAAAGCCTATAGAATTATCGTCAAAAAGGTGTGATCTGACTAGAAGAATGATCATCTAGACGAAATGTATATCGAGATGGCTGAATGATGACGATCAATTTGTCGGATCCGGATCCGAACAAGTGTAACGGTGATTTATGTCCCCGTATCTTTGTACCCTTTTGTTCTCTATTGTAAAAAAAAAAAAAATCTAGTATTAAAAAAAAACTTCATAATGGAATGGGAATAGAAGTTGAAATAACATGGTTTTCATAAAAAAAAAAGATTGTACCACATTAATTAAAAACTCCATTAATTTTGCCCGTTACACACACTGTCAACAATTTTTTTTTTTGTTTAATATCCATATTTGAGTTCATTGGCGGTTCCCATCATCGGTATCTGGTGTTCCTCACAGAACAAACTGATCGCGCGAACGCGATTTGCAATGTCATGAAAATTGTAACTTATTCCATTGAGATAAAAAAAAAAAAGTAACATTTCTCTTTGTCTTTACTACAGTCTAAATTAGATTGTGGAGTTTTTTTTTTTTTTAGCCTCAGTTTTTCCTATTTTCTCAATAGAAAATCCTTTTGGAAGGTTTTACTTTTAAAAATTCTTCAATATAAATTTGATCGACCATTTAGAATCAACCATTAAGCAAAGCACATGGTTTACGTCATTCATTCACTATATAAAGATAATTTGTTATATGGTAAAACAAATTTTGCATATGGTAAAATTTATTTAATATTTGATTTTAAAATAACAATTAATTTTGGCGAATCTTCTTTCTCCATTCCCACACATTTTTCATACTACGCCAAATCTGTGTTAGTTTACACAATTTGTGTAACCACAAATTAAATACAAAAGTAATTTGCAAGTGTCATAAGTTACCACGAGCGAAAAGCGCTTATCAACTTGAAATTTACCAATGACAACGTCCTCTCCTCGCAGAATCCCCCGTAGACGAGATTCTTCGAGACAAGCTGCCTTCACATTTCTTTCAAATATAAGCCTTGGAACTGAATCTTCTTATCCACCAAGTATTTCTCGGGCGACGGCTGTTCCCAGCCACTCTGTTCCCAGCCCTATTCAATCATCAGAAGGTTCTTTGAATACTGGTACCTTTGAAAACCAACCACCACCAACTATATCCCTCAGAGATCATGATACTGTCAACGTTAACACTAAGCCAAGCTTGCAAGTCAATACAAGGAAAGCCTCAACAACAATCCCCTACGAGAAATTACCTAAAAAGTCTGGAGGAAATTTTGTTCTCTCCCCAAGTTCAAAAACTGCCAATAATAATAACATATATAAAACGAAAACTTCCCCCATAGATTATGGTGAAGAACTTTATGATTTTGATCGTGAAAGAAGCAATAGTCATCGTGAGAACGCTGCTACAAGTTTCTTGGCAAACATCAGTCTTGATCCCAAAAGATCAAAGCCTTATCACCCTTCAAGGGAGAACTTGACAAGTCCAATTAAGGAAAAAATTGCAATCCTAGAAGCTAGTGATAACTTGATCCCCGAGGTTGATGATATCCAAGTAAATATAATAGGAGGTAGTTTATCACCTGGAGAAATTAAAAAAACCAGTCGAAGAAGTTCAGGTTGGTTATTATCGGGAAATTGCATTATTGTTATTTCAATTTATTATTCTTTTTTCAATTTTTAATAAAATAATTATCAGGATGAGAGAATATTATTTTAAACAAAAATTATGTTTATTTATTTGAACTTTTTTTTTTTCCTTTCATTTTAATCGAATTACTTTATCTGTTTTTAAATGTGTGTTATTGATTACCAAATCTGGTAAAAAAAAAAAATTTAATTTATCTAACGATTGATGATACCAAAATCAAATGAATTTGAAATGATGTCGTAAATTAGCATCCACCTCGAAATCCGATACGAGCTCATCTTCTGCCAATTCTACCACTCCTCATCCTTCTCCTCCAAATGAAAAATCTGTTTCTCATTATAAATCTCAACATCACCGCAATTCTCCAAATTTAAGTAACTCTCTAAATAAACCCAATGTTAATGATCATCGTAAACAAAATAATGCTAATAATTCGGTGAGTCTAGGAACTTCATAAAAAAAAAAAAAAAATTGTACATAAAAAAAAATATCTAACTTTATTGTAATGTATATCATCAAAAAGTCTTCGTTGGGACTTTTTTCGATATGGGGGGGATACGATAAGAAATCTAAGCAAAAAAATCGTCAAGATCAAATGTGCGTATATTTCATTTTTCGGGGAATTTTTTGTTTTGTTCGTCGGTTAATTTCATGTGATTTACTTTTATTGTTGATTTGATTTCAGGAAGCAACCTGCGGATTTGGAGATCATAAAGAGACCAAAAGTGAGTGATAAAGAACTTTATTTAAATAGAATCTTTCTTTCTCTTTTAAAGAACATGAAATTGAAAAAAAAAAAAAAATTTCAAAAAATTTTCAGGCCGAATCTTTTGCACATCTTTTAGAGCCCAGCAATTCATTAGGGTGAATATACTATTTACTTTAAGGGCATTCGATTTTCATCCCCCCTATTTTTTTTTTTTTTTGATTAGTATTAAAATCACGTGCTCATTAATTTAGTCCAAAGGAGATTGTTGGAAAATATGATCCAACCTACCTTGATGATCCAAAGATAAAAATAGAAAAAACGTCGGTCAACGAAGCTCATGTCAACAAACCGACTAAACATCGAACCGTTCTAAGTTTGTCGGGTTTTATGGTATATTTAATTAAAATTTAATTTGAATCAATCGAAATGATGGCATATTATGTTTGCGTTTATTAATTAATTCATGCCTTTATAACTTTAGGGTTCGTTTATGCATCATCATAATAACCGCCCATCAGATTTGAAGCGTGAATCGAATGCATTGTTTCGTCAAAAACATCCAGAGGTTGATCCTACTTTAACGTTAAGTCAAATTAGAAAAATAAAACTTAAACTCTTGACCGTGGCAAAAAATGAGGTTTATATCGAAAATCATTCATTGTCAATCATTTGAGTCGAACCAAACGCTGATCATTTTTTTTTAAAAAAAATTTAGGATTTGGACTTGGAACTCTCGACTGTTGCAAAGGCGTATGCTTACTTTGAAAAGTTAATTTTAAAGGTAGGATCGATGAAATCATTGGTCTTTTGTATATAACGTGACTAACATAATGATTTTCTTTTATAGAAATTGGTGAATAAGGTCAATCGTAGATTAATCGGATGTATGTTTAATTTTACGTAAAAATCATTATTTTTTTTTAAAAAAATCTATTTAAACCTATTGATTTTATTTTTTTTAGCGATATGTTTGTTACTTGCAAGTAAAGTAAATGAGCCCATGGGAATGTCATATTCACCGTTGTTAGAGGTGAGTTAAAATTTTCTTTTACGCATCATGATTTAGGCAAAAGCATTCATTTAATTCTAATCAATAGCTCTTTACCTCTAATTGTTAATCTTACATAGTCATTACATAAATATTTAGATGTCACAATAAAAGACATAACGGATAAAGAATTTTCCGTTTTTGCGCATCTGGATTTTGAGCTTTATCTATCTACACAGGAATTCATGCCACATTTCGATCGGTTATTTCAAACGTTTGGTAACCAATCATCTTTATTTTTTTTTACTATGACGCTCTTGAACTTACCTTTTAATTAATACAGGTTTTTTTTTCTTTTAAATCAAATAGATCATGACAAAGAAGAATACTTAGGGAGTAATCCATTTTATGAATTTCATCTTATAGGGAAACCTTTACCGCAAAGTTGACAGTTATAGAAATAAGAATGTTGTATACGAAATATTAAATAATTTTGAAAACATTATATTATTATATTATCTTTTATGATCACTTTAGGATCATTTAAAAAAAATTTTATCTTTCTTAAAAAATTCAAATATAATTAAATAAATTTTGGATAACTTATTGCTATATAGTTTTTTTTTTTTTTTTTTTAAAAAAAAAAAAACTTGATAATTGATTTGCGAATTAACTAATATATCAAATATATTATTATTTTTCAATTGTATTCAATATGAGACATGATTTTATTGTGCACATTAACCCGAGAAGCATCATTATCAGGGCACAATGCCTGGCAAACGCTTTTCAAAATTAAAAAATTAATATTGGTATCTTTAACATTTAAAAGGTATAATAATTTAATTTTTTATTTTGACTTATTTCAATTGAAAAGAAATTTTCCCTATTCAATTATTAAATTTCTATGATTTTATAATCATCATGATCTCGATCGTCAGGTGCCTCATCTCTCATAATCATATTAACAATCTGTTCTATAACATCTCCAACTTGTTCATCGTTTTCTACGAGATGCATTTGTCGGAGCACTGGATAAACTTTCTTCTTTCGAAGTATATCACGTCCTTGTCTAGTTGATGTTAAGAGTACGATGGATTCTAACAAGGTTCGTTTAAGGTGCGAATCAGGTTCGCGTTTCTAATAATATAAGGATTGTACGTGTGAATTTGATTTCCTTAAAGAAAAAAAAATTTTTTTGTAACTTTACCTTATTAGGAGGCAAGAATTGAATATCATCTGGCATTCCTTCCATATCCTAATACATCATTAAATGTAAATTTGAATAGGCATGTGGATTATGGTACTTCAAAATTTTTTTCCTTCGACTCACATCATTATCGAATTCTTCGGGTCCGCATAAAGGCAAAAGGATATATGGCAGCACATTTATCTTATCCTCTGACAACATATCAAGGTGAAAATCCGTTGCAAAACAACAATTTCTACCCATAACAAAAAAAGTGAGTTAAACATGAATGAACGCGTGATGCCATAATTCATTGTTTAACGAAACTCGTATTACTTGATACAAGACACGACGCCACCTCTTCGAATTATGTTGGGATGTTCAGTGAAAACTATCAGCTTTGATAATGGTGCTACTTTATCGTATGATGATGCACTGTTCAAAAAAAATTCTCGACCTTGAGCTATCTATTTATCATAGAAAAATTATGAAATAAAATTTCAAAAAAAAAAAAAAAAAAAAAAAAGGTTCGAACGTTAACAGTAATTTTTGGCATACCATCGCCATATCCGCGAATACGCTAGCCAAAAAATGAAATTCTGCTTTCTTGTTGTATTTCTTATCTAAACCTCGGACGAAAACATCAGCCAATTGGTCAATCGCTTGTGATGAGTTGGACAAATCTTTTACCGGTCGAACCTTCAAAGACAAAAGTTTTGCAGCAATTTCTTCATCTTTTGTAACGTTTGATAGAAGCATACATGCCATATCGGCGAGGACTGCATCTCGATTCTAAATTTGTTGAATTTCACTTCTTGTTAGGAAGTTATCAAAATTTGACAAGAACACAAACAATTTTTTTTTAATCAATACCGTTATCGTCTTTATTAAATATTTTAGAAAGACTTCATCATTGAAATTCTTACGAATCTCTTCATTGATGGTAAGGTTAACGAGAGCTTTATAAGCATCATTAGCGGTGACCTAAATTTAATGTGAAAAAAATTAGCATTGGATTTTCTAATTTCAAGATCAATTAATTTGATTTCAATCAAAAAAAAGTTTCTTACTGTGTCACTATCATTACAAAGCTTTACTAAATCTTTTATTGGTCTCATATTATCACGTTTGAATAAGTGTTGAAACTTGGAGGTACTAACACTGTACATCAATAATTTGTTAAGCGCAATTTGGCGTACCTAATTACAAAGTTGATTTATTAAATGGTTTGATAAAGTGTCTGCATTATTCTATCACTTACATTTGGATGATCTTCATGTAAAAATTCCAATAGCTTTATGATCAATTAATTAATTTATCGGTATAATTTCGGCAAAGAATTTACTTCATTTTATCAAGAAAACTTTCTTACCGATGTTACCAATTCATTTTCTTTTTCCATCATACAAATATCGGTTTTTGATTGACAACAACAACAACAACAAAAAAAAAAAGGTTTAAAAAAAAACCAAATAAATTGATTATCGATCTATACAATACATCACCCAAGATGGAAATCACAATGAGAGAAACAACTTTGTAATACCTCGAAAACTTACAACAAAATCTTCGAATATGAATTGTAACTTATAGGATTTGAACCCGTTTACTTTGCTATCTAATTTATTTTTTCGTCAGAAATTTTTTCATTTACACCAAGGCATCTCATATAATTAAAATAAAGATTTTTTTTTTTATTTATATATATCAAAAAAATATATGGTAACAAAATGACTTGCTCACATTGTGGAGAGAACAGAATCGAATATGATACCGCTGCTGGCCATGCTTTTTGCCCAAAATGTGGTTTTGTATGTAGAATTGAATAATTTTTTTTTTCCGTCGTTCAAGGGTATCAACGATTAGGCGAATTCAAATTGACAAAAACATTTATTTGAATTTTTCAAGGTTGTCGAAGAGAGTAAGATCGTATCCGAAGTTACTTTTGGAGAGAGCGCGTCAGGCGCTGCGATTTTACAAGGATCTTACGTTGGAGCTGACCAAAGTAAATCCTCTCGTTTCCTTGGTGAATTTCTGATTTATATTCTTTACTAAAAGATATTGAATTTTGTGCTGATATTGAAATATCAGGAAGGGCGAGATCCGCTGGTCCTTATCGTCGACATTCAAGCTTGGACTCAAGAGAACAAACCATTGCAAATGGTAAATTTTTATATGGTTCTTTATTATCGAATCCGCTAAAAATAATTTCATTTCAAAAAAAGGGCGACGGCAAATCCAAGCTTTAGCTACTGCGCTGAGACTTTCTGATCACCTGATGGAAGCTGCGCAAAGATATTTTAACCTCGCGATTACCAATAATTTCATCCAGGGTCGTAAGACCCAACTTGTCGTCGCTGCTTGTCTCTACATTGTATGTCGTACAGAGAAGACCAGCCATATGTTGATCGACTTCTCGGATATTTTACAAGTAAATCGATTCACTTCACGGAAAGTTGTTAGTAGTACGTTACTTCGATTTATGACTTTTTTTTTTTTTTTTGCAGGTGAATGTTTTCACATTGGGATCTACATTTTTGAAATTGGTACGAACGCTTCACCTTGTTCTTCCATTGGTTGATCCATCATTATACATCTCAAGATTCGCATCCTTGTTGGAATTTGGGGAAGAAACTCCAAAAGTAGCTTCAGATGCAATGCGCCTTGTGCAGCGAATGGACCGTGATTGGATGCAAACAGGCAGAAGGCCTGCTGGTATATGCGGAGCATGTGAGTACGAATTCGGTATTTGGGGCTTCGTCAATATAAACAAACCACATGACATAAGTGAGATGGTGCATTTATATTGACGAAGCCCCCATGCATGCATTATGATCGTTTTTTCCTCATTGTGAATTGATTGTATTATATAGGTTTATTGATTTCTGCTCGGATGAACAACTTTCAGAGAAGTATCAAGGAAGTCATTGCTGTCGTGAAGACGGCAGATGTGACCATTAAAAGAAGGTAAATACTAGAGGTTACTTACGTATAAATTAAAACACTACCATATTCACATAATGTTGTTATTCTATATCCTTATTAGACTTGAAGAATTCAAAGTTACCCCCACGGGTAAACTTTCTGTTCAAGACTTCAGGAATATATGGCTTGAACCACAATGTGATCCTCCCTCATTCACGCGGGCATTAAAGACGGCAAAATTACCCAAAGACAATCGACAAGTAGCTGATTCGACATTAAGAGATGTGGATGAGAATGAAGAAGTAACAGCTGGATCTTCAAGTGGTGACACCGGTTCAAAAAGAAAGAGAGATCTCACCGATTTTGATGGAGACGAAATTCAGTTACAAACCGAATTTATACAGGAAATTTTCGACCTTGACGGGAACAGCTCTCAAAATATTCCAACGTCTCAAAATGATGAGATGGTAGGGAAAAAAAGAAAGAGAGATCTTACCGATGTTGACGAAGAAGGTCCTCCAGCACGTACTGATAAAGGAAAAAGGCCGATGCATGACTTGGAGGAAGAAACAGATCGCGCGTTAGAAGATGAAGTGAACTCCTTCCTAGGTGATAAGTACTTGAAGAAGGTTAGCACCGACTTGGAAGGTTAGAATTAAATTTATATCTAATTAAATAACAATAATGTTACTATTCTGAACGCCCTCCCTTTTTTTTTGTTGATTAGAGAGATCGCGTCAAAGCGCAACTTCAGATGATGAAGATGATGAAGATGATGAATCCAATGGCGATGGTTCTCTTGAAGAGTTGGGATCTGATCTTGATGAAGACGAAGAAGTTAGAAACGCCATCTTGACCGAAGACGAAGTCATACTTAAAACACAGGTCTGGATGGAGCTAAATGGGGAGTTTTTGATGGAAATGGAGGGTGGTTATACAATAAATTCTTTCCTTCAATTTTTTTTTTTTTCGTTAATAACAATTATTTTGTGCCAAATAGAAAAAAGGAAGCAGCAAGAGATCGATAGGCAAAATGGGATTGGGGTTCGTAGGGTAAGTAACTACTTAGTAATCGGAATTTGTACATATTTTTAACCAAGCCAATAACAATAAGTTTTTGTTCCCCCCCCCCCCCCAGCATAAACGACCAAGAAAAAGCAGAAATAATGATCCTACCGTTTCTAGCACGCCAGCAGAAGCAGCAAGGAAGCTCTTTGAAGAGAGAAATCTCTCAAAGAAAATTAACTTTAAGGTATTGGATAATCTTTTGGAAAATTTAACAGAAAGTATCCCTACTTCTCCAACATCATGGCGGGATTATGATCCTACAAGCATAAGTGGCTCAGGGATCTCACGCGGCATAAATTCAGAAAGAAATAGATCACCTGAAGAGGAAGATTATGGATGGAATCGTCGAACTTTGAAGCTTAGCAACAATAAAGATATGCAATATGGAAATAGTGCCGCAACTACTCCAGGGTTAACTGAAGATGGTGAAGATTATGTTGAAAACGATAATAATGAATACGAATACGGAGGGGATCCATATGATGAGTTTAATGAAGATGTTTACTGACAGATATTGGTTGGTGTTAACGATAGAAGTAGTTTTCTTTCTTTTATTTCTTCAAAATTAATTTTAATTATTATATTCTTTAACATTATTTATTATGTTTACCTAAAAATTCTAAAAATAACAACAACAACAACAATCATAATAATTATAATTATAATAATAATAATAACAATAACAATAATAATAATAATAATGGTCAAAGGTTATGAGACAAACCAATTTATTTAAGTTTTTAATTCATTTTTATTTTTATTATCTGTTAGTTTTATCAATTGTCTTACACTTACAATAATGTATGCATACACTCTACTCTGAATAAAAAAATCAAGAAATCAAAAAAGTGATGATGAAATTTCAAAGATGTGTGCCAATCGATCTAGTTCATAATGAACGATAAAGTAAACGTTTTATAATGTTCGATAAAATAAATTTGAGAATATGTAATACTAGGGGAGAATACAAAATATGCTAAATACGACAACGTGTTAATAATAAATTAATAATAAATTTTTTATTTATTAGTAACAATAATGAAAAGGAAAGAAGGAGATAGAAGAGGTAATGATAAAATCGTAGTTGCTATATTTATCCGTGAGAATAAGTGCTTAAAAAGGAAAACGCGAACGCGCCAAATGAAAATTGTGTGCTACGTACGTGCGACAAACTACGTTTTGGGATAGATATAAACGGAATTTAATAACCTAGAAAGGAAATCATTCTTGTCAATCACTACATGGAAAAAAGATGAAAAAGATGAATGTAATGAATGCTACCTTATCTATAATTATTCAAAAAAAAAAGATTATTTTGATTATGTCATGCTGCACTTGGAATTTTCTCTTTGCAGGGAAAAAGTATTCTTTTCTTTTTTAAAAAAAAATCATTCCCAAAATCGGATTTGAATTAAAAGTGAAAAAAAAATTCCCTTTAGCTTGGCATTTTGGCATTGAAAGGATCTTGCACAAAAAATTTGAACAGTGTTGTTAACAATTCATTGACTTTCATAATCAATCATGTGGTACAAAAAAAAATTATATATACGAAACCAAAAATGCGTATAAGGTTATAACATAAACAAAAAAAAAAAAAAAAGTCAAAAGAAGATAGAGAATAAATAAACCTGTTTTAAATTTTCCGAAATAACATTTTTTTTTGTTGTTATTTTCAATGCCTCTCCTTCCTCCCATTGAAACATAATTCCCTTTCTTTTTTTTAAAAAAAAAAAAAATTAATAAACTCCAGGCGTTTAAACTTTTTTTTATTAAGAAATTAAAACCCGAAACCAAAATAAAAAAAGAAAGAATGTTACGCGGAGCGAAACATATTTTAAAAAAGAAAAATTTACAAAAATCTGTAAATAATAACAGTAATAATTTTCGTAAACTTTCGCAAAAGACTACAAATTTAAAAGAATTTGGTAATAATGTTACTATTGAAGAGACTAGTTTGATTGTTAAAAGATGCGTTGAACAGATCCGACTGAGAGGTAAGTTTCACTTTAATATATATACGGTTAAAGTTTAATACATATTTAGTTAACAATATTATATATGTATATATATTTTTTAATTAGGATTAAATACCGTTAATATATTTAAACCGATGCGTATTGGAGATGGGGGAGATGAAGTAAAATACTTATTGAATTGTTTATTGAACGATAATATACCAGAATTTGAAGATGAAATTCAAAGTCAAGATATCAATAATATAGTATCAGCAATGAAATGGGCTTTACGTCATTGTAAATGTATAATTATTCCATTTAATAATTACGAGTCTTTTAATTTTTACGAACAAGAAATGAATTATGATGTTCGTAAGGGATTATTCACTAATAACTTTTTAAATTCTATACCAAAATTAAATAGGGAAATTATTTTAGAATTATTTGATATTTGTATACAATTAAATAGTAGTGTTCTTCCTTCCAATTCGGATATTGATAATAATCCTCTTAAAATTATAAAATCTTTAGCATTATGTTTAATTGGTTATAATGATGACGAAAAGGAAAGGAATTTTACTAGTTTTGATGATGCTTATAGAGAATGGATTAAATCTTCTAATGCTTGTTTGCATTTATTTTTGGCTTATGTGAGAGAATTGGTTATTGAAATTGAATTACCTCCTCATTTGACTTTATTGCTGGACAATTATGTCGAATTACGAAAAAAATATTTTCAATTAAAACAACAAAATGAAGAAGAAAAAGATGAAGAAGATATTGTTGATGTTGAAGATGACGATTATGATGATGATTCGGAAGGTCATGAATATCAAAAAGAAATAATTCAAACAGCGGACTTTCCTGAATCCCCTACAATATCAAATAAAAGTAGAAAACATTTTAGAAAAAGAAGTTCGTTGATATATTTTTCCGCGCCATCAGAAAGACCAATAAGTATATTAAGAGTAACGAGAACAGTACCACCAGGTATTACCAATAATGGACGAAAATCGAGATGTCCAAGTATATTGTTACCTGAAATGTTGGATAATTTAAATAGACGAACTATAGTTCGTACAAGTACAATGATGACATTAGAAGAACAAAATATAGCGGAAAAAATTTGGAAAGAATTTCAAAGAAACGGTATAGCTTCATTATCCGATGATTATATTAAATTATTCTTTTCGCTTGATGAAAAGATGATTAATGAAAATTTACATAAAAATATGGCTATTACTCCCATAGAAAAAAATTGGAAGGATTTCTCCAAAAAAGGGTTTAAAAGCTTTTATTTAGAACCCCCTTTACCACCTAAAAAAAAGCAAGATAAAAATAATGTAAGCCTACCAAATAATAAAAATGATAATGGAAAAACGGGTGGAAATGAACTCGATAACGAAATGAGACCTAAAACTATTGCTTGGGATGATTTTACCACAAAAGGATTTAGAGATTCGTTAGATAATTTATCTGATGTACTTACCTTAGCTTCATCAGTTAAATCACCTTTATTAAGAGATAATGATCATGATTATAATATTTCAAATGTTAAATCAACGACTACAACAACAGCGACACGTAATGATGGAAAGAAACATAAAATAAAAAGAGGAATAAATTTACGTTCATTAAAGAAAAAATCTTTTGATTCAAATAATGATTTTGATTATAATGAACATGAAGAAGATTGGGAAGATTGGTATGTGATAGATCCCGCGCAAGATTTTCAAGTCACAACGCATTTAGCAATTGAAACTATCGATGAAATATTTCCTTATATTTGGATTGAAACAACTTCTGATGAAGTGACCAATCGTTGGGGTGAGTGGGTTTTCGTTGAACCAAGACAAGATTTAATAAATCATGAATGTGAATGGATAATGATTGAAGAAAAAGAGCAAATTTTAAATATTTGGGATGATTCAAAAGTTCGTGGTCGTGGTAAATTAAGAAGAAAGTCTAATGCTTTTAGTACTTTTAGTTTACCTTGGGTAAGAGCAAAATCGAATAATAATAATAAAAGAGAGGACAAAACAGATAGTAAACTTACTAGATCTTCTAGTTTACCTCGTCATTCTGGTTCTTTTGATAATAGTGATGTAGAAGGTCATAATGCAAGACGTAAACGTATTTCTACAAAAGACATTAGTGCTCCTATACCCATAGATTACACCGAAGAAATGTCAAGAAGATTAACAAGTCAGGGTTATGATTCTGAGACAGGAATGATGGAAATGGGTTATACAAATGAGAATAAATACAACCATAGACTCACTCAGACATCTCATATAATGCCTACACAGTATGAAACTGTTGCTGAATATGATGAAGAATATGAAAATTATGCTGAGGGTTATGGGGGTGATAGAAATGGTGATGAATATGCGGAAGAAAATGATTATTATGATGAATACGATGAGACCGCTGATAGAAATTCGATGGGGGAAAATTATTATGATGAGAATACAGATTATATTGAACATCTTGATCAGTATGATGAGACGAGGAATGAACATACAGGAGAAGGTTATCATGATGATGATTATACAACAAATACTCAATATGGTTACCTATAGACGAGAAGTTGCTCATGAAGCAATGATATATAATGTTCAAATCACATTCTTTTATGTTTGACTAAAAAATCGAACAAGATAAAAACTGAAAAAAAAAATGCTTGAGAAAAAGAAAACCTATAATTATATATATATATATATTAATGCATGTAATTTATTTGAATGTATAAATTTATTTGAAATAATAATACAATCGACCCCCTGTATAGTCAGGACCAAAAATACAGTATATATATGATGTGATTATAGAAGAGGATTTTTTAAAAGGGATGTGACTATATAAGAGATGGGTCGATTGTATTATAATATTGTATATATTTTAACAGAATTAGTGTACAACTTGCAAATGATGTAATAAAATAGCAGTTTTAAAGGGTAAAATACGGGTTACAAGAAATCTCTTATTCAAAATTCGGTAAATACGTGCAAGCTTTAAAAATTTCAAAATTGAGGTAACTTTTACCTGATTATCAAATAAATATTTAGCGCTCTATATCAGGAATTTTTTTTGTGACAAAAATTTCTTGTGGAGTAATACTCCAATTCACATAATCAAAAAAAAAAAAAAAAAAACCCCCCCAGTTTTTCCCCCACTTGTCGCTTTTACATCATCGAGCTGGACGACTGCGAAGAATACAAATAAGCAGGGATGTGCTCTTTGATTGGAAGCTAACTTTTGGAAGTAATTATAATCAATCAAATTTTAGGGCTATATGATTTTTTGCTGCGTAATACAATGATTTCCCGTGATATGTTACTAACGACTGCGGATGACATATTTGACATACAGAAAAAATGAATATTACACTAATTAAAACATACAATATATTATTTTAAAGCTAATAAGTGATAAATTGTATTTAAAAAAAAATTATGGTATTTATTTCCCAATAGTCCTGTTATAATATCATAAATTGAATTTATAAAATCAATTAGAAGGCTTTTTTGTATTTATTATTTGTTACTTTTATTCAAAAAACTTTTAATTTACTAAATTTTTTTAGCCTATATAACTTTACATTCCTTTTAATAATTAAGCTAATAATTTTTAATAAGTTTTGGATTTAGATTATTAAAAAAATAATCCATGACCTTTAAAATACTATTTTCAAAAAAAAATTAGTAAAATATCAAATTATTTAATAAAATGATTAAAATGCTATCTTGATAAAGAATTTTTTACATTTAATCTCTAAATTATTTCATTTTTTTTAAGTTTTTAATAATAGTTTTATGTTAATCTTTATGTATGAGTATATTTTAGTAGCATTATATACTTTTTGCCTTCAGAAATGTAATCTCATTTAATGTTAAGTTTTTTGTCTAAATAAAATCACTTTAAAGCTTAATAAACTAAAATTTTTATTAAGGTATAGGAAAAGTTTTACTTAAAAGTTATATTTTAATTATAAGGTATTCATTTGCATTTTTATTTATGTATGTATGATTAAAATTAAAGAAGTTACAAAATGATGATCTGACATAGTAAAATTGTTATTTTTTTTGACCACTACTGTAATATTTAATATATTTAATATTTAGTAAACCATCCTTAACTTCTAATGCATGCTTCAATTTTATATGGTATGCTTTGTATAAGTTTAATATAGGTTTCAGATAGAACTTTTTTTCATTTTCTTATAATATTTTTTCAAGTTCACAAATATTTCTTAGATGTATACATTTACTATCAGTATTCAGTAATGATTTGATAGCCTATCTAAGCCTATCTAAGACTAATTAAACTTAACAAAACCTTATTAAAAAAGCTACTGATTTTACTGATAAGCCAAATTTATATAAATAAAAAGACTACAGTGAACTCTTGATATAACGAATTTTAGGATCTGGATATCAACTTCGTTATAAGCTTATAATGAATTTTTTAAAGAATTTAATTGGCTAGTTCACTATAGTAAAGGTAATTTTAATATATTTGATTTAAAAATTCGCTATATCAAGAGTTCGCTATATCAAGGTTTGACTGTACTTACTATAAATATCTAAAGTTATGTCATTTTATTATAATATTACATTATTTTATTTATACATTACATTATTTATTTAAATATTATATTATTTATTATAAACTTTGTAATAATTTTAATTAATTGCAGTCCCATGTAATAATTGTAACAAATTGCAATATGTGTTTAATTAAGTTAATAATATTATAATATTTAATTGATTTATTATTTATTATAATATAATAAAATAATTGTTGTTATTATCTTTATACTCAATCATATTTTAATTTGAAATATCTTGATCTGTAAGGCTGTTATAATATTAATAAAGAAGCTATATAACAGCTTATTTTATTTAATCTAAATATTCATATTGAGAATTTCATAAATATTATAATATCTGATTTTATTTATATAATTGAAGACTATTTTAATTAATACAATAATTAGGATTTAATAGATTTAATAGTAACTAAAATAGGGTAAGAGATAAGTTAGTTGAGATAAATATATATCTTTCAGCACAGTTTTATTAATAATAAAATGGTTTTCATAATTATTTTCAAATTTCAATTGAGTTGCAACTCAATTGCACCATTTTTTTTAATTATGGTAAACAACTTTAATTAATAATCAGAATTAGGTTCTATTCAGTATCAGTAAACTAATTCTAATAAATTTATAGCTAGATAATCTTAAATTTAAGGTTTTATTTTTACTTTAATATTGAATATTAAGAGCTTTTGATAACTTATTAGCTAATCAAGTAGAATAATAATACTTTAATGAGGTAAAAATTTCAATAGTCCAGAGTAGTGATTAGCTATTATATTAACCTAGTATAGATCATCTGCTCAAAAGAAATTGCTGAACCACAATGCATGTACTTCATATGATAAAAATAAGCGGATTACTAGGCAGAATTTGTATGACAGCTATTAATATATTAAAATATATTAATTTTGCATGTACATTTGAAAAGAAAATATATTAACTTTATACAAATATGAGAAAAATGTGAAGGGAAATCTAGTTGTAATACATAGCTTTTTCAATAAATTAATAGTGTAATAATGACAAAACTATATATTATTACACAAATATCATTAGGATGATCTTTCTAATGTAAATCTTTAGAAACTATGTTAATTTTTTAACATTGTTTACGTCATCTACCTCATTTACATAGTTAACTTATTTTATTAATATTCTTTACTTTATTTATTTAATGTAGTTTATTTATTATACTTAGTTTATTTATTTAACGTTATTAACAATTATATATGTTTTATTTTATATAAATATGAGTTGAAAATTCTTGGAGATTCAGAAAGTTCACTGAGTAAAAGACTTATAGGAAAAGATTAGATTAGTTTAGTTTGATTATTTAGAATATTTGTACATACAGAAGTACCGACATTTGAGGCAGTATTCATTTGTTAGTATATATCAAATAAACTATTAATACCTATATTTTATCCAATCTAACTATAAATTAAATCTTCTGCTTATCACACATATTATCTGTCTACTTATAACATTTAAGCAACATAAAGAACTGATCATAACAATATTATAAAGGACTGAAAACTTTGCAATTTTGAGATTTACAAGAACTAGCTAACTTTACATCTTGCAGAATAGATCTACATATGAAAAGATATGAGGATTTCATTTATATATACTTTCATAGCAAATGATAATATTAATCATATCTCATATCTTCTTAACTTTTTTAGCAAGATATAAACATGTAGAAGTATGTAAAAATTCAGCTAACTTTATTACAAAAATTTAAGGTATATACAGTATATGTTAGAAGTTATATATATATAAAAGCAAGTTTTTATCTTATTATTAGTTTTGTATTTAAGAAAGCAAGATAATAAATTACTGAAAATGATAATAAAGATATTATCAGTTTAAATTTTTACTTTCATAATAATTAGAATAGAAATGTGATTTTTGTGATTAAGGTTTTCAAGAATGATTATGTTTCTGCTATTGTAAATAGAGTTAGAACTATATTAGCATTCCATCTTTCAGTCTATTCTCATAACTTTCATCTTTAACAAATTTATTATACTAGTATATAAAGAAGATATATATAATTAGAAAATAGAATTTCTGTTTATTTTCCTGAGAATCCTGATAAAGATATAATTCATGTATTCATTTACCTTTCTTTTTCTTCAAATAATTTTTTGTATTATGTAATATGATATAATTTGCAAATATTATTTTTTACATATCAGTTGTTGCTTTAGCAATGATTTATTTCTTAAATAAAGTATATATTATATTCTTATCATAAATTTCAATAAATATTAAATCTTTTTATTTCTTTTCAGATATATCTTACTTTAGAAGCAAAAAAATACTTTTATATTCATAAATCAGCTTTATCTATAATTGCAATCTAGTGTATAATTTTTTTCGCAAGTACTAACACATATATAAAAACCATATCTTCATAAGCTTCTTATTTTACTTATCTACCTTAATAATGGAAGAAATTTTCATTAGAACTATTAGACATGATTAAGGATTTTAATATAGGTAAGCTTATTAAATATTTGAAAAGAAAAGATTTGAAGTTTAAGAAGCTTCTCTTTAAAATTTTATGTAAAGAAAAAATATTTGGTCTTGTTTTTCTCAAGTTAAAAAATACTTTTACAATATTGGTTTTTTATTAAATTCATCAATAGTTCTTATAGAATTTATTGAAGGTTTCAGCCAAAATTAAAAAACTATTCTTTACTTAAAACTCTTGATAACTTGAAAGAAATATTGCGTAAAAAATAAGGTCAATAGAGAAGATATAACAATTATCAAACAGTTTACTTCTAATAGATAAATAAATAATTTTTTAAAACTAACTGGTTGAATATACTAACCTTATTTTTTTTGCAATTTTTGAAGACATCAATGATGATAATAAGTTTTTTAATCATTATTATTATATAGAGAATATTATCCTAAAACTTCAAATATAAAAACTATAACCCAATGCTAATGATACAATGCATTATA